CCTGCTGAAGATAAAGTTCTGTTCACTCTGGTCAATGGTCAGACGAAAGAAGTCGCTAGTTTGAAACTGGAAAACGAACAGAATCAAAATATCAGTGGAAAGAAAAAGAAAACCAAAGCAAATAATAATAATAATAACAATACCATTACTAATAATAACAATAATTCATTGCAACAGGGAAACAAGCAACAGCAAATGAACAATTGGAAACAGCAAGCACAGAATAAAATTTGTGACAGTAAGAACAATGTGAAGCAACAGTCAAATAATGAAAAAGGTAAAGGAAAGCAGGTAGATGATAAAAAGACTCAACAACAGAACATTACCGAGGTAAAAATGAAATCCAAAAAAGACAAGAAAAACACTGAAAATAAAGAGAACGTGTTACAACAAAACGTTGTAAATAAAAACAAAAATCAGTCTCAGAATGTAACTGGAAAAAAGCAAAATAAAGTAAACACTCCACCTCAAACACCGATTTCACAAAAGTCAACACAGAACTTAAATATTACTAATGATAACAAAAAATCGAAAATACAATCGCAAGATAAAAATGGACAATTGAGTGCTAACAAGAATAACAAAAATGCATCTGCTAGTATCACTATTAAACAGACGAAGACTGATAACCATAAAGTCCAGAATAAAGTAATGAATCAGGCAATGGCTAAGCAGCGACAGGAAATACAGTCGGTATCTACTGAAAGGGTCAATTCACCACTCAGTAGTCAGTTCAAAGACATTAGTGCAAATTCTAAGATTAACATAGAAAATTTAAAATTACCACCTGGTATTACAATAACAAAAGTTGACGCTCCTGCGAAACCCTTGCCAATAAGATCAGCACCATTACCTAAACCAGTGAATCCACCCAAACAAACTACAATAATTGCTGCACCAATGAGCGGTGTACAATCAAGTTACGCAAGTTCTCAAGCGGGTGGCAATGTGATTGTTGTGGATACTGGAAAATTGAAGCAGGATCTTCTGCCTAAACCCACAGAAAAAGGTGAGTAAAATATTCTATAAGAAAGTAAAATATAAGTAATTATTTGTGGTAGCTCGGACAATTTACTATTTCTATAATAATAATGACTTATTATCCTATTATAGAGCTGTCTAAGGAAACTCAACAGAGTCAAACCTCCACAAGCAAAAAGAAGAAAAAGAAAAACAAAAATGCAGCGAATTCGAACAACGTATCAAACCAAACAATATTACAAAACAGTGACCCTTTTATGAATGATCATGCAGATGAGCCTGCTAGAATCCTTCATAATCCAAATACCAATATGGTGACCATAAGGAACCCCGCATTCGGTCCAATGAAAGTGCCACCTACTCAACAAGCAGCTATTATAAAAGTATCGGAAAATGGTATGGTCACTATTCGTAGCCCTGCATTGCAACAAGCAATCAATGCTGGCCTTACATCACCCCCAAAACCGGACTACATCGTAAAAGGCGATTTGTCGTCAAAATCGTCAGCGGAAAGCACAAGCTTGAAACATGCTAATGGTATTATACCGTCGAGTTTGGCGGAGCTGAGGAGCAGACTGACACCAGATTGCACAGCTTTAAGTGGTCTGGCTAATATCCAAATCAGTAAAGTGACGAATGGTCAACCTATACCAGAAAACGGAATTAATCTGAAGGGGACTAGTGTGACTTTGACAAAAGTGAGGACGGAACCTAGCATGGAAGATGTACAGAACGCGAAAACTGCAGTCCGCGAAGCAATAAATGCCTCGATAGCAGCGTCGACTAGCGGGAAGAGCAAGAAAAAGAAAAAACGCGGAACTGGCACAAGACAAAGTGGAGATGACTGGAACCTCGTTGGTGAGAAACAACAATAATCAGAGTTTAACATGTAAATTTGCTTCTTTCATTTTTTTGTTTTCCTTAACACACCCCCGGGCTGCATTTCTCGCTCCCGGTATGAAACAAAACTTTTCTCTCCTTTTTTTATTTCTTTTTTTTTATATTTATTTTCTTTTTTATTTAAAGTATAAATGAAAGAACAGCATATACATAAAAAAGCAATAATTAGAGATAATATATTATACACAGCCGCATATAAAAAGTATAAAAAATACTATGGACGTGTAAACGTGTAGGTTGAGTCGCACTGACGACGGTTTTTCTTTCGTTTCGTTTTCCGTCAGGAGAGGGCAGTGTACCGCGTTAGGACGAAGTCTCGATCGCAGGGCTATAGGTCGAAAGAGAGAAAATTTAATCAAATGTACAGGGGATGTGTACACTTTGGGATCTCCTCGAATTGGCCGCCACGAATTTCTCGGGGGATTGTCCGGAAGAGAACTTTGGCCAGTGAGCACTATCTTTTCTTTATTTTCTTCCGCTTGTTCGCGCGCACCGACTTCATATTTAAATCGACGAATCAGGTGACTGTTCCATCGAACGTGTACAATCCATAGTGATCGCATCCGCCATGTAACAAAGTATTATTTGATCTTAGGATAGTTCGTAGCTTTTTTCTCTCTACACAAGGGTGTCTCGATTACATACATCTCTTATGCTATCTTCCCTCTTTTTTCTGTTTCCTTCCTAGTTATATGTCCTTGAAAGTCGATTCTCATCGCGAGCACACGGAATATTTTAACGCTAAGCATGACGTTTTTTAGGGAGATATTTTATGTACGTTAGATGACTAGATGTGAACGAAATTTTTTAGTTGATCGTTTACTAGGAAAGAGAGAAGGAAAAAAGAAAAAGATAAAGAAAAGATACGTATATCACTCGAGAGAGTTACGCTTTGCCAAGTTCATGACAGCGAGTTTATTTAATTTTACTATATACACGAAATCTCAGATTGTGATACGATTAATCGATCCTAGGTGATCGACAATGACCAGAGTATACGAATAATTTTTTATTCACTTCTGAATCACGTGTTTCAATAAAACAGATCTATTTTTTCCAACGTCATGACCTCTTATTCCCTTATTGTTTTGAAAAGTGCTGTGTTACCATAAAAAAAAGAAGAAAATGAAAAAAAAAAAAAAACTATTGCATGTTTATGGATTACGTGAAGCGTTCTCTTTAGTCATTATCGAGAATGTTTTTAGAAATTGATTCGACGTTCCCTTTCTTACCGTTTCCTCTTGAAATCTTTTACCGGAATTTGCCTTTTTTCCCTGTTTTGTACTTTCTCTCGTACTTTCATCAAAATTTGATCCTTTTTTTTTTCTTTTAAATTTCGTTATTTTTATTCTATTTAGTTATCATTATTATCACTGTTATTTTCTATTACATAATGCTGGTATTTCGGCAGAAGTTTGACCCAAAAAGATAAGAGAAAAGATGGGAAAGTGCAATGTTTAAAAGATACAGCCAAAATAAAACGCACAAAATAGATATTCCCCTTATCCCCACCCTTAGGATCACCAATTTCTAGTATTCAGAGCGTGTCTTTTGCAGAGAGCGTATTCACGCCCAAAGATATAGACCTTGAGGACGGGGAGATGGACGATGCGGAACGCGAACTAGAGGCGTTCAAGAGGTTTTGCCTGCAGTCGGTGCCGCCACCACGTAAGGAAAAGGTTAATCTCAACATCAAGGACATTGTGCTAAAGAAGAAGTCATCTTCATCGTCATCGTCTTCAGCGGCGGCTGCTGTGATCGCCGCGAATTGATTTCTCTTTCGACTAACATTAGACGCTCCCTACCACTACTACTACTATTACCATCACCACTACCATCACCACTGCTGCTACTGTACTCACGCAAACGCGTGTGTTGGCTTGACGCAGAATTAATAGGAATTTCTAAATAAGCTCGAGCTTATACGAGCACACGTTGGCCCGAGGCATTCTTTTCTTTATAAAAGTCACTCTATTTATCATAGATCAGACAATAATATATTGTACTCCATTGTTAAATTGTCTGGTGATTCTTTTATCCGAGTGCATGACACTTTCATGCGAGAGACATCAGTCTCAATGAGCCTCGTCGGAGGGATGATTGCGCCACCCGGTGGACGAATCGTGCGGCGTGAAAAGTTAATTTTAGCTCATACCCCGCACTCTCCGTGCCTAGAATGAGCGCACAGCGCGTTATTCGCGATGAGAACCGATCTTGTAACCGTGTTCCACCACGGAGAACACGTTTTCTCGTGCTCGACCGAGAGGAAGGAATACGTGGGTACTCGTCGTTGTACACGTGTGATTAGTCGTTAAGAAAAACCTGTTATTTTTGCATCGAGCCAATTGTCACCGACCGAACGTGTATTGTAATACTGCCACGGCCGATGCGCGGGAACACACGACCGACCGGAAGCGCCTGCCGATTTCCGGATCCCGGCGACTGGGTTGCGCCTAATAGTTAGCGATTGTCGAACGAGGACAGGAAATGCGAATGATTCAATACATACATGCAAGGGCAGCCACCGCAGGTACGACGTCTGCGCAACGTCGTAACGTGGAAAATAACGAAATTGTCGTCGTGTCGTCGTCGTGTCGGCGCCTAGTCGACTCCGTATTTTTAATATATTAGTAGACGAGCGTGTCGCAATCGCGATTCCTCTCTTCTGTGCGTGGAAGAGGCGAATAGCGGAAATTGGACACTTAGGTAGAATGTACGCGAGAGAGGGGTGGGTGACGCGTGGCATTTTTCTCGAGACACAGCGAGCCGTAGATATAAAATATGTTATATAAATATAAAATGTATGTATGTATATTTATATCTATAAATATAGTAGGAACGAATTTTCCCGTTGAGAGTCCGGTATTGTGAAAATATCGGCTCTTGACTATAATTGCGAAAACGATCATGGCGGCAGTGACGCATAGTGTCTCGACGCTAAACCTGCCCGAATCTTGTTCGATTAATGAAATCGTTCTCGCCGTGCGAGCAAGGAAAGATCGATAACGACGCTAGATGTTTCTCGTTGTAATACCGACGATCGCATCGCGTCGCCACGATCGTGATCGCCGGCTTAAGAGCACAGTTCTTGATCGACGATCTTATTGTCCGATACACGACACCACAATACACACGGAAACACCTTTCTCTTCATTTTTTTTTTTTTCAATAAAAGCAGATATGCATTTTTACCAAAAGCATTTGTGTTTGTCAACCAATTGTCCCTTTTCATTGTTGGTTCACTCGCTATGATAACAGCAGTTCTATTATTATTCATATCCTTTGCATTTTGTAAAAAACCTAATATTTTTGTATCTAAAATCTGTAATGTCCGTTGGGTAATTCCTCAATTTTCGAAAAATACGAGTTTTTCTGAAAACGCACGATTTTGGGTTAAAATGGAGGATTACACGAAAACCAGAAATGTTTAAATGTTTATTCGTATGTTAAAGATTAGGTGAAAGTTCTCGAATTTATTGATAGTCATAACTGTAATTATTCGTGCTTCTAGATAATTACAATTTATCGTCAAAGTTTAAAAATAAACCGCCGAGTGTATTTTCTATGCACTATTCTTGCATTTTTATAAGTTTCCTCTAAGCTCCAGCATGAAATTGCTATACGGTATCGTATTCTGCAGATCTTTCTGAAGAAGAAATCGTGGAGCAGAACTATGGAAGCAGTTCATGATTCGATTACATAAATAGAATATTCGTCGGTAACGTCTATAGGACGTGTTACCGCCATACTGCCATTGCTCGTTTGTCTGGACTCGGCAGGGCCGTAACTACTCGTAATCGACGTCGATAGTGCTATAATTTTGCTTATTTCTTCAAAATCTTACTTCAACCAATATTTTCTACTACTATCCTACATCTAAAAAATACAGCCTAAAAAGAAACTTCACGTCAAACCGGATAACTAATAATTTAGTCAACATCAAACGGATTAAATTCTTCCTTGAGTTTACTTGTTCCATTTAACTTTCGACAAGCGTATTTGCGACGTCGAAATGGCCGTAAATTGGTTTCGTGATCACTATTTCGGACGGAATACATATATCGGTATAGGATATAGACTGGAAGGTACTTACTGTATACTACATATTAGTCATAGTAATAACATTTCTTTCCAATTATTTTCTAAAATATAAATAATTTTTATTGAAATTCATAAAATAAAAATTGATTTTCGACACTTTTTTGTATTTTGATGCTTCTTGTGGCATAAATTTTTAAGAATTTTATTGCTATATGTTCGCTGGCAAAAGGCAGTTATAATTGAACAGTCCGCCACTAGATGGCAAGACATGTATGTACTGTGATAGCTAGAAATTTGTTGTCAAACGAGGTATCAAATAAATATAAAAAAGAAGACAATATAAAATTCTATATTATTATATTCTTCTGTTACTTAATCTAATCTAATTACTTAAGTCTTAAGTCTAAAGATAATATCCTAACCAGTGAAAGTAGTAACTACGTAGCTCTCAGCTTGGCATCGTTTGTCAAAGATGAAATTATCGAAGAATCCAAAAACTACAAGATACAATTTATACAGAAAAATATGGAAATACATCTTTCCTAACTATTGAAAGGATGCCAATTACCAGGTCTCACCACGTGGAGGTGGCTACGTAATCGAGACCCACGCCTAAACGCATTATTAAAATATAGTAGAAGATATAGAAAATAAATTACAAAAAAGGAAGAGCAATTAATAACAACACGAAAATAAAATTTCATATGGAAAATTGGTAGCTGCATAAGATTATTCTACAATGAAATAAAAGTCTTAAATACGTCACACGCGCTGCCACTTATGTCGCTTGAGAAGTCGCAAGAATAGTGGGAACAGTGGCAAAAAGCACACGAGCAACTACAGAGGGCACCACATTTCTCGTAACTCTTCTTCAATGTTATTTCAAAAGAGGGAATTTTTTAATACCGATCGCGATACATCGAATTTCGAAGGATTTAATTCACCGATTACAATGTGTACAGTTTGCATAGTAATACTACACAAATGCGCAAAAATATAATATTCCTGCTAGATATAACAAAGCAAAATAGTGAGCATAGTGACAAAAATAATATAAAATATGCTGGTGTCCCCTTACTGAAAATCCTAACTAACTTGTATTCCGTAAAAATCCCATGAAATAACTATGACAATGAACGAAATGAACGACTACAACTTTCTAAATTTCTATTTAGAACAGAAATTAGAAATTTCTTTAATCAAGATTCTAATACGCCATGTACAAACAAGCCTTAGCCTGATTCAACAAATATATTACAGAAATATATATCGCACGAGTACTATTATACATTAGTACATTAGCACTCGTGGTCACTATGCTCGCTACGAAAATAATAAAATACAACCAGTTACCCGTGCAGTTTCGGACCATTCGTCCTACGACATAGATAACCAGAGGAATCGTAAACATGCGACTTACCGACTGTTCGTCTCTTCCTCGTACCAAAGCAGCTGTGGATTAACTGTCGCCGTTGTCCTGGTATCAGCGCCACTGTATCCTTCCCGTGCTACGTCGGCAATGCAGCGATGTCAACATTGGTTATAATTCCTTCTTCTTTTCTTGGAACACTTTCACACACTCGCGATGTCGCGGACACGACTGAACTTCGTTTCGGCCGGTAACGAGGAAAAATATCGCGTGTGTACTCATGCGAACGCAAACAATTTAGTAGAAATTTAACTGTGATAAAAATATTTAATATCCACTATTACTAATGAAATTAATAAAATAAAAGATAAGACATTTATTTTAGTATTAAATAGATAATTAACAATAAAAAATGAATGAAATAATTAAATGAATAATTAAAAATTAAAGTAAATAAATTAAATAAATAAATTATCAAATTTTGAAAATAAATAATTAAATTAAATAAATTATTAAAAGCAAAAAATAAACAAATGAATTAAATAAATAATTAAAAGTTAAACATAAGTAAATAAATTAAATAAATTATTATAAGTGAAGAATAGATAAAGAAGTTAATTTAGGCCGCGCAAGTTATAATCTACACATCACGACGACCGAGGAGCAACTGAGTGTCCTGTGACCGTCGGGTGCTTATATAGTCCGAGAGTAACCTTGCCGAGGTAAAACGTAAGTTCACGAGCTCAACCGATTTTCCAAAGATTCGCGAACCTATTATAATAGTTATTACGTAGTCAATTGCAAATATATGTTTTGCATAAGTTGCAATAACAATATGTACATTAATTTACATATGTACAATTATTTTTTCATATAAAAAAGTCATTTGCTCTCTAGTAACAACATTTTTTAACATATATGTGTTTGAAACGACATTTTAAAGTTAGAAAAAGTGAATAGTAGCAGAAAATAACATTAACCAAAGGAACTCTATACTTAACACCCATCACCTATCTTAAAATACGCTAAAATTCAAGTTTTTAACCGTATTTAGAATAACGAGTTGAAACACAAATAAATGAGAATAAGAGTAGTTATGTAGCCTGAAAGTTATAAATGCCTATAAAATATTTACGCATAACTGGTAAAACAGATTAAAGAAAAATGTAGGAACATATGAAATGATATTTATAAATTTTTATATTCATAATAATTTTAATAAAAATAATTAATATTAACACTGAGAACTGTAACTATTTTTCCGGATAGATAGATACCCGTTTTATTTTTCACCATTCTCTCACTTTTCTATTCTTTAACAATATTTAATATGATCATGTAATTTCTACCTATAATATTTATTAGTCTCAGTATAGTGGGGGAATAAAGAGCTCGTGATTAAAAATTTATGAAACTTTAACATGTTTCACACTATCATTAGTAGATGGCAATAGCTTCGAATTCTTATCAATTTTTTTCCTTTCATTATAAATTTTCAAAAATCTATAAGTGTACATATAAAAAACTTTCTTAAACTAAAACAGCAATTAAAACATTATTTTCAAATTCCAATATATCTATATAAATGTTCTAAAATACTGACATCATCATTCCTTTCTTACCGACGGTAGAGTTCAGAGATAGTTCTCGACTCTTTCACTAGCCTATATGTCTCTACTTGATAACTAAAATATGTATCAAAGAATTATTTTTTATTTTATATAATAAAGTTTGTTACTAAAATATTTATGTCTGTCTTATCTACAAAAGTACCGTGGCTATTTTGAAAGTTAAACGGCTAAAGTTAAAGAAAAAATTAAAATTTCTTGGACAAATCGAGAACACATGCTTGATAACTGAA